GGGTGACCGTACTTCGGCAGGGGGGGTGGACTAGATGACCCACAGAGGTCCCTTCCAACCCCTACCATTCTGTGATTCTGTGATTCTGAGACAGCGCCGGGGAGCTGGTAGCCATCTGGGCCAGAGGGATTTTGGGGAGCACCATGGTGTTGGGTGGCCTCAGTGGAGCCCCGTGGGGCAGTTGGTCACCCCGAGTTTGCCTCGCAGGTGATGCGCATGACCCTGTCCACTCTCAACTGGCGGCGGCGGGAGATGGTGAGGTGGCTGGTGACGTGCGCTACCGAAGTGGGTGAGTGCCTGGCCAGTTGGATCTGTTCCGCATGCAGCGGGAGCCGGGTGGGCGCGGAGAACTTGGGGTCGTTTATAGCCCTGGGCATCTGAGCTCTCCTGGGTCTCCTTTTTCTTGCTGGGTATCTGGATGCACCTCAGAGTATCAGCTGGCAGGGCTGGGGCCACAGCGGTGGCCAGGTTTGGGACTGAGATGGGTTCCCTGTACCTGGGCCAGGCCAGCGGTGTTCGCCGTGCCCTGCAGCATGGCAGCACAGGGTAGCCTCTGCCCGTGCCCCTCTGCCCTGTCCCTGCCATGGCAGAGGCAGCAGCTCAGCACTGCTGTGGGCTCTGGGCTCCCAGGTGCTCAGAGGAGCCCTGTGATCTGAGTCAGGCTCCAGGGCTGTGCCATGATCCTGGTGTTTTCTTGCAGGGGTGAGGGCCCTGGTGAGCATCCTGCAGAGCTGGTACTCGCTGTTCACTCCCACGGAAGCCACCAGCATTGTGGCGGCCACAGTGATGTCCCACAACACCATCCTGCGCCTGAGCCTGGACTACCCACAGCGGGAAGAGCTGGCCAGCTGCGCCCGCACCCTGGCCCTGCAGTGCGCCATGAAGGACCCGCAGAACTGTGCCCTGTCCGCCCTGACCCTCTGTGAGAAGGACCACATCGCCTTCGAGACCGCCTACCAGATCGTCATCGACGCTGCCTCCACTGGCATGACCTACACCCAGCTCTTCACCATCGCCCGCTACATGGAGCACCGGGGCTACCCACTCCGGGCGTTCAAGCTGGCCTCGTTGGCCATGACGCATCTCAACCTGGCCTACAACCAGGACACGCACCCGGCCATCAACGATGTGCTCTGGGCCTGCGCCTTGAGCCACTCTCTGGGGAAAAACGAGCTGGCAGCCATCATCCCGCTGGTGGTGAAGAGCGTGCACTGTGCCACCGTGCTCTCGGACATCCTTCGCCGCTGCACCATGACGGCCCCAGGGCTGGCCGGCATCCCCGGCCGCAGGAACTCGGGGAAGCTGATGTCCACCGACAAAGCCCCACTGCGGCAGCTTCTGGACGCGACGATAAGCGCCTACATCAACACCACCCACTCCCGGCTCACCCACATCAGCCCGCGGCACTACGGGGAGTTCATCGAGTTCCTCAGCAAGGCCAGGGAGACCTTCCTCCTGGCGCAGGACGGGCACATACAGTTCGCCCAGTTCATTGACAATCTCAAACAAATCTACAAAGGCAAGAAAAAACTGATGCTGCTGGTGCGAGAACGGTTTGGGTGAGTCCCGGCCCCCACCACCCTCACTGGCAGGGTCCGGCCGCAGCACGGGGACTCGGGAGAGAAGAAGGAAGGAAAGCGGAGATCACCTTCCCCCCATCGGCAGAGGCTGCTCTGTTCTGGTTTTCTGTTTCTGTTTTTTTTTTGTTTTCTTTTTTTTGTTTGTTTGTTTTTTTTTATTTTATTCCTTCTTGGATTTAACCATTTCACACGCTGAGAGGATCCAGAGATTCCTTGGGCACAAACCAAAAGGCAACCACAAGGAAAAAGGATGGTTCGCTCAGCCCCCTGCCCTCCCTTGCCAATACCAAAAGCTAACCTGGATATCTAATACCTCTTTCCTGAAGGAAGCGGTCGCTGGAGGGATCCGAAGGTTGCGAAGTGCAAAAATCTTTAAAATTACGTGGGGAATTAAAAAAAAAGAAGTGAGCAAAGAAACCCGCAACACTAGAACCTCATGCGTCACCAAAAGCGATGGCTTTGCAGAGCGCTTCTCCCGCCCGCCCGAGACATGCAAACTCCTCTATTTGTGAAGATACTTCAATAAAAACAAGTTAAAGTAACTGTTCTCAGGGATTGCTTACTAAAAGTAACACAAAAAAAAAAAGCATTTATGATACTGTAAATATTATAGTATATGTGTCAATTATTAAAATGTAAAGTTATAATTATTTATAATTCTGTCTTTTATTTGGGGGATACTTGAAATTGTCGTGGGCTGGGGCGATTATTTTTATTATTGCTATTATTATTATTATTATAACTATTATTTAAAAAAACCACCACAAAAACACAGACAAAAAAAGAGGAGGAGGCACGCGAACATTTCTCAGGTTCCCATGGCATCGTCGGCAGTGAGAAGGGTGTGAGGGGAGGCGTCAAAACACTGGGCAGGCGCTTTACAGCATTTTTTTTTGTTTTTTTGGCCTTGGCCCTAGGGAGGCAGCAGTGTACCTGAGACTGCAACTCCTTTGGGAATTTGGCTATAAACAAGGTCTTAGAAGATCTGCAGGAGACTGATAAATTATGTGGTTGGGAATGACGCTGTAAAAAGCTGGTAGGGTATTTGAACTCTTATGAATTGGCCATCTATCAATTGTGGTGCAATGTGAAGAAAAGGGGAAACAGAGGTAAATAAACTCTTAAAACTTCACCGTGCAACAGGAGATAGAAAAAAGGGTAAATACAAAAATCTACCTCTAAACTCATGCTCTGCATTTATGTAAATAAGATTTAGGCACAGAGGGTAAAAGAAAGGAGAGCCTCACACAGCTGACAGTGTAATCTCTTATTACCAGCCTACCCCCCCATTTTTTTCTTTTTTTTTCTTCCTTTTTTTTTTTTTTTTTTTTGCGTGCGTGTATGTGTGTGTGAGACCTCTTCATCTGATGTTTAATAATAAAAGGGATGAACGTTATTGCCTGTATCTCTACTGCCTTTCTCTGAAGTTGGGGGGGGAGACACTACGCTTGGTGGGCAGCCTGGCATCGTGGGCGATGCAAGCAGGTCAGAGCCCCAGGGAGCAGGCGGCAGCGCAGCCCACTGCGGTACCCAGCTCCTGCGTCCTGAGGAGGGGGACGGAGCAGGGGTAAGGCCTGCTGGCTGCTTCACCCTGCTGCTACTGCCCCGTCCGCACTGGCTAGAGCAGTGCTGGCACCCGTTTCTTCACCCATCCTACAGCCAGCTTGGACCGCAGGGAGTGTGCCGCAGCGTGGGACGGGGTGCCACGGAGTCATAACCTCAAGTTCCTCGGTGCTGCAGGCACCCTGGGCTGCTGCCTGCAGGGTTTGCCGAGCCCCAGGCAGACTTGGCCCCGAGGATCAGAGATGAGGAGGTGTATGTACAGGAGGTCTCCAGGACCAGTGGGATGGTCCCAGAGAGGCTCTGGGAGCTGGGGGAGGGCGATGGCAGTGTGGCAGTGTCAGGACCATGGTGTCTCTGCCACCATCCCAAGCCAGGGTGCTGGTAGTGCTCGTGTCCAGAGGTCTCCTGCCACGTGGCCGGCCCATCCTGCTGGGCCTCCCACCCCCTCGGGGATGCCCTGGCTGGATGTCATGTTGCCTGCTCCCACCTGAGCAGGACTGTGGCACAGCTCAGGCCGAGCCTGTGGCAGTGGTGGGCTGG